ATAGGAAAAGACAACCAAGGCTTGAGGTTGCCTTGTTTTTGTCTGTTGCTGGCATCATCAGTGGGAAGGCACAATATGTCGTCTGCACCCACAGTGTCAATCAGAATCCCATTACTGCAGAGGTCATAGACACAGTGCTCCAGGTAAGCTAACTCTCAATGGGCTACTCTGCTTGCATTTCCACCAGGATAAAGAAAAATAATAAATTTACACCCAACAATATTGTCTGCCTCCAACATTTCACGGAGAACTTTAAACCTTTGTCAGATATAAAAACATGTTTCCTCCTTTCTCTCAGACAAAATATAATCAAAACTTCATTTGAGGTTTTTTCCTTATTTTTTTATTTTTTTTATTTTTGTCAGTCTAGCAATTTAAGCTCATAGCCTCATGGGTAATTTTCGGAATACATATTAGGACCTTTAGCTTACAGGCAGTGGCTCGCACACTCAATAATACCATGAGCAATATCGCTCTGAGAACACCACACAAAAACAAAGATGCCATAGCTTCATGAATATTTATGAATAGGAGATACTGGGGCCGAGATAAAATGACAGACTAATAGGTGGATGGAGAAGAGAGATATGAAAAGAATGATACACAGACTGATGGAAAGTCAGGAGGAGACAACCCACTGAGCAGACCCTGTAGGAAGTGAAGACACAATATAGTAGACATGGGGAACCCTGGAGGAAATTTGCTATTAAAATGCTGTTAAATACACGTGTACTTGGCTCCTCCTGTGAAGCTCGTGTTGCTGGTGAAGCAGTAAGGGAGCCTCCCCTGATACCCACATTCAGGAGCCACTGCTGATTGGCACCACAACAGCACTGGTGGGCTTGAGCCCCTGTGGGCCCCACTGGCGGTCTCCATCATTATGCCGGCAGCGCTATCGTTTCTGGACACTGATTAAAATGTTGGCAATGTTAGAAGAAGCTGAAGGTTAAACCACTAAGGGCTCCATGTGAAGTAATTTCACACCACATCCCCCACCCGCTTCTCTGACACACACACATCCACACACTAACAAGCCAGAGTGTAACAGAGAAAGTAAGGAAGTTCGTGGAACAGGGCTGTGTGGGACTTGATTCTAATCTTGCCTTGATTTCAGCTCCTCATGGACGTTGACTCAACTGGAACCAATTTTTCCTCAGTCAATCCCACTATGTCCCAGTGTCGACTGGATATTACTATGATAGTTGGAGCTGAAGATTTAATTTAGTGTTTCTAAAGAATGTCACACTCAAACACAAAGTGGACTCTTTGAGAGGCTCCAAAGTTGTGGCTGTGAAATGGAAAACAGTTTATGCTTTTATTTATTTAAACCACACGATAGTAGAGAGCACTTTATTAGAAACACTGGGTCGTTCCTCCCTTTTCTCTAAAAACAGCCTTAGTTCTTTGTTGCATAATTGTATGAATAAGCAAATGTACAGGTGTTCCTAATAAAGTGCTTGCTGCATGTATTGTTTAGCATGAGAGCCTCAGTATCTAAATTAAGATTTAAATATAATGAGAAATGTCAGCTGTACCTTCTTAGGATATGACTAAACAAATATCAGTTATAGAGACACCAGATAAATGTGGACAAGTGAAATAAATTAGACTGTCTGCATGTTTCCCTTCACTAAAAGTATTATTATTATTATTATTTTAATCAATATTTATTGATTTATTTTTTATTATTATCAGAGGTTTTGACTTTTGTCTGAGGACATTTGGCAGTAATATTAGCTGTATTGTGTATTGCTATGACAGCTTCATACCAGATATATTTGTATCATACTGGCTTTGCTCAACACGAAGGTTGTCACAAGGGTATCTGATCTGAATCCTTTTGCATCAGCGTTCAACATTTGTAACTAACTGCTTGGCTGAAACACAAGGATTCAGTTGAGCTCCTGTTGGCTGGACCACTGTTGGTCTAATTACTGTTGACAACCTGTGGCTACAACTTGAAAATAAGAAGTGCATCAAAAGATGTGAAATACTAATAAAAAATGTATCTGAGATGCTGAAGTTACAGGTATTGCTTACTTACATTTAAATACTTTTACTCATGAGATACTTCCTCCAAAATAAGTCTCTGATCAGAACTATTACATGTATAAGCTATAAATGTGTATGATATGCATGATATGTTTTACTTGAATTAAAAAGACTTGAACAGCAAAAGTAATTTGTGACATAATTAAATTGCTTTAGTTACTCAGCCCAGTCAAACGTACCTTTAAATTCCAAATTCTCCAGATTAAAAAGTGTAGAAATAGAAAATGAGACATTGCGGTTTAACAAGCAGCAGCCTACAGTGTTCACCAATGTTAATGCAGACAACTGCACACAGCTCTCCACAAGTCCCATCACACACCCTAAGGCTCTGAACATGAGGAGATTGCTGAATGTAGCTTACCATCAACTGTTAGCAATGTTAAAAAGCCAGCTAATACCACACAATATGTAAAAACAAACAAACCTGGGTTTGGCAGTGGGAGCATTTTTGTTAGCAGGAGTCACATTTCTTCTGCTAAAGGCTAACTGTCCAGTATGACCAGCTGTCATAGAAAATAGACACAACTGACTCTAGCTAACTTCATCATTAGCTGTAATTATTTTTCCCGTTGCTAACATCTATCTACCTGAAGGCTGTTGTACACACCGTGGAACTGAAGTGTCATAAAAAGAGATCCAGACACTGGAATGATTCTCTCTTGTAAAGAATAAAACTTAAATGGTGAAGTTGAATAGTTCAGAGCAAAAGCAAAAAAGGACAAACAGTGGGAATCAGTGATACTTCATAAGATGCACACGTTCAGAGCTCATTCACATGTCTGTCTGGCTGCTGATTGGTCAACTGGACATGCTGCTTCTCTTCACTACACATCAGTCCTGGGAGCCACAGCCACGTGAAAGAACATTTGCTGATAAATATTAGTGACTCTCAAGAGAGCAGACTTAATGTCTGGCCATAAAGTCCCTATATTTGTCGCTAGGTGCATTTTTGAAAAAAGAAAAAGTTGCCAAAGGGGTTGTAAAAGAAATATAGTTCTTGTGCTGGCAACACTGTAGCTGCCTTCTCATCCCCTGCACCAACCTAAGGTGCTCCGCACTGAACACAGAGGCCACACTGATATCAACCATCTACCAAATTCCCGGTATGACAACCAATCCTCAAAGTGTCAAAGTAATGGAGTATTACTGGGATTAGTAAATACAAGGTAATTTCTGGATTTCTGTTACTGAAACAATCAATCACATGTCTGCAAAGCGTTACTGAGCGAAATCTATTATCAGTGCTAAATAGAAATGAGAAGCCTGAAATGTTTTGCAGATTTATTGCGGGGCAACAAGATTTTAGCCTCTGAGCTTTGTGAATCCAGGTATTTCATCAACCTGCAACTAGATCTAAAGTAAAACCAGCTATCAGACTCTAACTAACCCAGTCACAGCAAACAGCTCTTGAATTTGGGGCAAACAGCAGATAGTTTGAGTATCAAGGTCAAGAAGCAGTGAGTGGTTTAAAATTGTGCTTTTCCTCCTAATGATTATATTAATTCGAGGATCAGGCTAAGCTGTAGAGAAGCAGAATGGACAGGGTGACGGAGGCCAGCTGTCACCGGAGTTTCTCAGTGAGACGTGAGCAAACACAACTATGGGGCTATCTGTGTCATCTCCCTGCTCAACACCTTCCCTCTGTCTCCCTCCATGTGCCACTAGAACCAATGCAGAGATACCTTTCACCTGGCTCCCAGTCTCAAAAAAAAAACAGCTTTTGGGCAGGCTTGAATAGTTTTGTCTGCCTCTCGGCATTTTTCCTAAAATAAACCAACAGCCACAGGGCCATTAATCTATGATGAGTCATGCTGGTTGGAAGTCAGATTTCCAGTCTGTATTTGAAGTTGCAGCCAGTGTTGGCATTGGTTCTGGATCATGACTCACGGTATGCTTTGGAAACAGTTAGGTTATCTTTGAGAATCGAGCATCCTCGTGCTGAGAGTACGTCATATTACATTTCAAGCAGTGAGTGATTCCAGCTCGGTTGTTGTGTCTTGTAAATTGGTAGATGATGGACAAAATAATTGAAACAGTGTGTGAAAAGGAAGGAGCCTACATCTAATATTAAATAAACCATTCAAATCCCACTGGGCTGTCTTGAGATGCATTGTCCCAAAGCTTCATCACAACCTTACTGCACTCAGTCATATTGTTGCAAAGTTCTTCAAAAAGAGGTCTAGCAATTCAAAGTTCTCTGTATTCTTCAGAGTACATTATGCTGCATGAGGACCATAAATTAATTTAACAGATAGATATCCCCTCAGTACTCATCGAGCCACAGCAGAAAATGAACTTGCTGAGTTTATTGTTAAATGAAGGTTCTGGTGAGGAGGATGTGAATGAGGATTTAGTGTACCTTAAGGGAGTCCCTCCTTCCAGACTGAAAATATGCTTCTGAGCTCTCATCTCATATTAATTTGTCTTAGAGAACGTATCCGTGCTGTTGCTCCGTGCCGCCCTCTGGCTAACTCTGAGCTATTCTCTGAGAATGAAGCCTTGATGCCTTCATTCTCCCACCGCTTGTTCCACAATTTAACTTGGCTTGTTTTCATCAGCCTCCCCTCGCACCTCTTTGTCGCGCTCTCTTCCCTCGTCCATCAGCTGTGGCCTTACTACAATTATGCATCCTCCAGTGGGACAATTAAATCGGAGCTATACCTTCCCGAGTGGAGAGGGCAGAAAGAAAAGGGAGGAAATAACGATGTCAGATTTGTTCTTGCAATGGCCTACCTCCTTTTGAACTAGCTTCTCTTGAAGATGAAGAAGCATATAGCTTTTCTGACTGTGTTCCAATGCCACCACTAGTGAAGGACACACTGCCCTTCAGCCGCATTGTCCGACAAAATGAAAGCTGCCTGTTTTTAATTCAGTGGTAGAAAATTCACTCATATTGATGTGGTTGTCCTCTCTCAACTCCCAAACGCCCTCCCCTCCCTCTTTGACAGGTGCAAGTGCAACCTCCATGCCAACAGCTGTGTGTATGACAAAGAGAAGTTGAGCTGCGAGTGTGAACACAACACCACTGGGCCCGACTGTGGCCGCTGTAAGAGGAATTACCAGGGGCGAGCATGGAGTGCTGGCTCCTACCTGCCCATCCCCAAGGGCACGGCTAATATTTGTGAGTACGGACACACACACACACACACACACACACACACACACACACACACACACAGAAACACACACACAGACTTGTGACAAGGATGGGTCACATGGAAGAGCAAGAAATATAACAAAAATACAAGGTCTTGACAAAAAAATGGAGATTTTCTGTGAAATTTTGACTCAACATAACAAAGGCACCTGCACCGACAAGTGATAAAAGTCGAATCCCAATTAGCAGTACCCTGTGTGTCATCTTTGAGAGTTCTGACAATCACCACATTAATTGTGAGATATAGAGTTGTGAGGTTTCAAAGCAACGTGAAGCAATTAACAATGTTTCAAAGAGATAAAAGGCTCAGAAGCAAAGACAGGAGTCTAACTGTTGTATTTTTGATGTATAATATTCTGTGGAAACAAATGTGTCCAAATACAAGACCTGAGTCTCATTTAGTGTTGTGACTTAGCCCAACAGCTTTATTTGGACATGAAAGTCTTCGTAAGAGTTGGGTTGAAAATTGGACCAAAGATTTACAAAATCATGTTAATTCATGTTAAATATGGGAAAACTGAAAAAAGAATAGTGTTGGCAGGTGATAAAGAAACCACACAGCACAGTACAATCACTAAATGTAACTGTGCACACAATTCTCTAAACGTGCATATAGTGCAAGCATTAGACGAGGATACAGCAGGTACAGTAGGTTTATTGTGTCTGTGAGTCCTTCTACTTCCCCCTGTCAACACAAGTTTGAGTAAAGGCCGCCCAGTAGCATCTGCAGCAGCAGCAGCAGCAGCTGCCTTCTCATCCTTTACAAAACACCCTTGACATCAAGTCAGTGCTTTGACTGACAAGACCACGCAAGACCCTCTGTGTGGGAGAAAACTGAGCGTGTGTGTCAGGGTTTCATTTCACGTTACCTTTCAATTTCAAGTTTTTATAACTTGGATTCAATGGGGGAAGTGACTTGTAGACCTCCTGAAACAGGTCCAGATAGATGACGCAGCAGTAACTGTCAAAAGCAGTAACTGAGAACAATATTCTAGGAGGTATGAATAAACAAAGCAATGATTATTTATGACTGATTTTTTGTGCTTTTTTAAAAATCTTATGACTCAGTCTCCTGTTTTGCAGTCCTAAAGGTTTGTGGTGGGACTAATACAAATTGAGTGAGTGTGAAAACCTGTATTAAAGAAAAAAGAAAAAAATCTATCATGGACAGTGCAGAGCAGATGTTTTACTCTTTTGTCCCAATGCAGTTTTTGGAATTCCAGCTACAGTATGAGGAGGAAGATTCAAACCACCTGCTATGTCTGTGCGTTTAAGACTTGAGGCTGTCGTTGACTACAAAGAATTTTCCACTAGATATTAAATATGATGATTTTGTTTGACTTCACATGTATCTCCAATTATTTTTGAAGCTTCGGGCACTATTGATATAAACCTACTCAAATTAAAGCTGAGACTTAGCACTTCAATGTATCCATTAATTTATTTCAACTTGAATGTGCAGAAGCTCAGAGCCTGAAGAACAAAAATGTGCAGCTGTCCAAAAAAGTATGGCCGGGACTATATGTCCTGCTTTCCTGGTCATAGTTTTAAACAATGATTAGACTGTTTCATTCACAAATTATTTGGCATTTCACAAGATTAGGTGAAAATAAGCCCACGTGGCTACATCATGCAGTTCATTCACTCCTGGAAGAAACAAGACATGACTTGGGATACGTACCACCCCCACATCGACCCCCAGGGTCTTTTCAGTGAAGGATGTTACACAAAGCAATATGTATGGTTCCCAATCATGACCACTGGGGACACTCTGGTCTATAATAAACCTACTCCATTACATCTATGTGCGGTTGTCATAGTTCCATGTATGATCCATTCCTTCAAACTAGCAGTAGACTGTTGCTGATGTCCACTAAATGTGTTGCAGTTCATGAGTAATGTTCTGCAGCTGCAGCTTCAATGCTAATGTAGGATAGAACCAATTATTTGCTCCCGCTTGAGCTGAAGAAAGTGGGCCAAGTGTCTTGTGGTGAAATCTAATGTCTTGTGATGATATCACATAACATGTGGAATTTTTCTTTGTCAGCTCGGGCTGTGGTGCACCTTTGTTGATGTGGGCCTATATTTGAGAAGACCACCATTGCCGAATATGTATTTGTGAATTAAAAAACAAAACAAAAAGGGCAGAACTAACAGCCCTCTGTTGCAATGTAGGGGGAGTTGTTCATGCTAATGATCACATCTCATGAACACACACCTCCTCACAAACAGGTGGCTTTCATATACATAAAACAAGTTATTTACAGCAACGTTGTGCACTTAAGAGAGTTCTCTGAATCCGACTCATTTGAGCAAACTAGGCGAGGTTTAGGATAAGAATAGAAAAATGTTTTTGAATGATACGCAGTGTTTGTGATATTAGGTTTTACAGATCAACTTGTCTTGAATAGAAGCAAGAATGCACTGTTTTTTTTTACAAGGCATACAAAATTGTAATATAATAATAATATATAATATCCATTTCCTGATTTTTTAAAAAGGTTTCCTCTATAACATCATTGTTTATTTGGATCCCTAACAGAAAAAGCAACAGCTGCTCTTCCTGGGGAATGAACCAAACAAGGACACAGTGTCACACAGTCCTCCCAACATGTGCAGTAGTTTAGTGGCACTGAAGTAAGGAGCTGAGCAATGATCCAAGTCTAATGCCTCACATGTAAACTTTGCAATACTTGTTAATGGCGACTAAGAGGCAGTTAAGCTGTCTGCTTGAATGACTGAATGAATGAATGAATGAGTGGATGGGTAGATGGAGCTTTTACGTTTAATATACAAACAGTCAACATCATCCAAGTCTTGTTATCGTCTCTTACGAGACCACATGAACACAGGTTCAGCTTCCATACATCACCTAAAACAGCAAAGTGATGAGCGGCGGGGCCATAAGTCTGAGTGTGCAGGCCTGAATTTAAAAGCCCCAGTTTCATCCTGTGCTGTCTCCTTATTGCATCCACTGTGATTTCTGCTTTTCTCAACGGTGCTCGAGGACTCTCGGTCACCGTCTGATGACTTATTCTCCCTCCCAGAGGATCAGCGTTATGAGAGTTAGGCAGGGTTAGTAAAATGGCCATCCCCAGAGCCCAGATTGACAGCACATTATTAAAAAAGGTGACATGCACACACACACACACAAGCAAACACACACACACGAACACACACGGGTGCTCATCTCAACCTGCACAAACACTCCTTAAAATGTTCACACACACATTCATAACGACACAAGGGGACGTATACGCACACGTACACTCACACATATTCCCTCCAGGTGATGAAAAACAGTCTTAGTATAAAGTGCATTATTATACTTTGTCTAGGAGGGAAAAAATCCATAATGTAATAACGCTGCGAAAAATCTATAGGAATTCAAGGCAATCCCTCCTGAATAGAAAAAAAATGCACAAGGCTGACAGAAAAATGCACCTTTGTGCTGTTGTTTGTAATTTTCAAGCTCATTCAACACCAATTCCAAAGTCTCCTTCCCTCTCAGTGTTTTTCCTCAAACTCAGTGAACATATGGCAGCTCTGTGGAGACAAATTTGTCAAAGATGAAAATTTAATTAAGATTTAATTTCTTTTTACTATGCCCATCAAGTCGTCTGATGCGATAAGGAGATCGATGAATCATCATCTGGTGGGGGTGTGGAGTTAGGCGGGATGATATGTCGTATTACAGTGGCGCTGTGTTGGGAGCAGAGAAGAAGAGCAGAATTTAAAAAGTGATATAGAAAGAAAAGGATGGCAGAGATAGAAGGAGGGGAAGTGGGCATCACTCTCTGCCACAGCTAACTCAGCCTTCTGGGGTGGCTCTGTCTCTCTCATTTTCCCTCTCTCCATCTATGTCTCTCACTCCCTCCCTCCCCTACCGTCTCTCAGCCTCACTCATGCTCGCTTCCTCTCCGTGTGGAGACAGAAGGAGAGGGATCAGTTTGAGAATTAACCATGGCAGTTCATTCCACTGTAGGGCGGAGGGATACTGAAGGAGATACAGGCCGGCGGGGGAGTGGGCAGAGCCGTGTGGCCTCTGAAAAGTTCATTTCAAATAGTGAAAATGTTTCCTGAATGTTATATTAAAAGGCAAAATCCTAAAATACACTTAACATCGATAACTGGATTTGGAGAATTTAACATTTTCACTCCTGTATTCCAGTACTCTATGTTGAACAAGAATTACCGCCTTGCATTGTATGCCTCAGCCAACCAGGCAAGCTGCAGAAAATATGGTCACAATCTAACCTTCTATTCCTGAGTTACAGCATTGAATATTGGCCAGAGGTGTTGTTAAAGAACATTATGATGTCACAGTGAAGTTGGCTTTTGACCGTTTGGATATAAAATTTCATTACTTAATTTTATCCTATTAGACATTTGTGTGACACTTAACATATGAATTCTTGAGTTATGGCCAAAAACCCATATTGTGAGGTCACAGTGACATTGACCTTCGACCTTTGACCACCAAAATGTAATCAGTTCATCCTTAAGTCCAAGTGGATATTTGAGACAAATTTGAAGGGATTCCCTAAAGGAGTTCACTAGATAATTGAGTCCAAGTGAACGTGAGACAAGCCTAGCTTAGCTTATTGTCAGCAGGAAGTCAGAGAGTGCATACTTCAACTAAAGCAGTGCAATCCACTAAATTTCAACCACAGGAATTTTGTAATGCTTCTTAAAAACTGCTTTTAAAGGATAAGTCTTTTTTTTCTTATCAACAATATTCCTCTGTACCTTAGGAGCTTAAAATCACACTGTTGTACTGGGTGACATGTTCCATAATTACTGATGAACATAAGCGCTGTGGTTTATTTTGAGTCAAATTTTATGCACCGCTCTGCTGCCAGAAATATATGGCTGAAAATAGTCCCCACCAAATGCACTGTTTATTTCTCTTTGAGTAATATTTGCTAAAAGAGAGTCCAGCTGTTTTGAATATGTGCTTAAAT